TATATATATATATATATATATATATATATATATATATATATATATATATATATATATGCATTTTTTGAATGTAGGCTTGAGCTTAGAATAGTGTTTTGGGGGGAGTCCCGAATCCCCGTCTCCGAGTCCCCATCCCCGACCTTTTTTGAAGCCGCGGACATTTTCGGGGGCCGTCCCCGAAATGTCCTCGACTCCCTCCATCTCCGATTTCTCCAGAATTGTCTGCGGTCCTCGAAAGTCCCCGGAAAAAAATTAAATTCGAATCTACCGCGCCCTTACGAACGATTCGAAGTTAAATATTCAATCATTATTCGCACGTTCGCTTTCAAGGCTCCACTACCTGTCTCAGCTCATAACATTACGTGACTGTCAACGAATTGAGGGGCGCTGCAACAGATTTTTCTTTGTTTTCATCTGTTTTCACCCAAGTACTTTACGTTTTCTCCCTTATTTTTGAACGTGTTGGCTGTTATCGAACATGTTGGGTGTTTTCACGCATGCCTATTAATTATACGAACGCATTGACCATTCATGAATCCGTGTGTTAATTCCTTTCCAAGATGAAGATACGTGTGCTACTGAAGGATTGTCCATTCGTGACAACGTGTGCGTAACGACATCCGAGCAAAGAACAAAACGCGGAAGGTGTGGTCAGGGGTAGCGTCGTGTGGAAGTATTTCCGTATTTTCGAGGAAACTGATGACGGGGATAAGTGTTATTGATAAGTGTTATGACAAGTGTTATAAGTTATTATAATTGTTATCGATATTATTTGCATTCCATTTTTTGTCAGTTTTACTGTTAACATCGGTGCTGCTTTATTGCTATTTTTATCATTCTTTTTATTGTTAATATTTGAATAAAATATTGTAAATAGAATTGCATTATGCCTTCGCATTTATTGCTTTCCTAGCCTACGATTACTCATTTTAATATTTTCCCATTAAAAAGTCATGTTTTCAAGGTCCTGCTGACTCTAGTTTCAAAGTTGAGTTTTTTTTGAGGCTGAGTTTTCTCCCCGGAACTCCCCGTCCCCGAATTACCGTCCCTGTTCCCGTCTTCGATCATTTTCAGGCCGCGGCCACTTTCGGGGTTGTCCCCGTTCCAGAAATGTCCCAGGTTCTCCCCATCCCCGCACAACACTAGTTTAGAGGATATGCCCAAGAAAAGCAATTATCTTTAATGAATATTCAGACCTCTTATGTATCAAGCATGTGATAGCATGTAAATGAAATTGTCAGCGAAACCTTTTATTATTACCAATTGTTGATCAGAACCAAAAGATTCAGAATTGCAATTGAACTTAAAACCGAGCGAACTTGAGCGTAAATTCTTGTGAGTATAATTGTGAAAATGGATGGATAGACCAAAACAGATTAAACATTTTCGGATGTGCCAGTAAGCAATAAAGTGGTTTACGTGTAGGGTATGCTGTAACCAGAATGATGCATTTGTTATTATAACATATATAGATGAATAATAATCGTTTTATTCGTGCATTCTATCGAGTAGTTTAATCTTATCTATATTCTCTCATAATAGTCATTGTTTAGGTGTTTCTCATTTTACTTCTACGACTTTGATCATTCTATTTCCTGCGATGATACGACAGAGGGGGAAAGGAGATGTGTCATAGGGAAAAGAAGTTTTGAACTGAAGTGAAATTAAAGTGGTTTGATTATTGAATGAAATAAATGCATGTGTACACATTCATTACATTACGAATAGTTGAACGTAGAGTCACAATACAGCAACCATAATAATGAGTGAATGAACACTTTTTGAGAAAAGGCATTATGAGTATGAGCCATTTAAGTTGAATAGTAGATGTGGTAATTGTACGTAGAAATGGTAATGTGCATTTGATGTTGACATATTACGCAAATCGATGGAGTGATTTATGAGTCGTGTTTGGAACGATCATTGATTAATAACTATACATATGTGCGCATCTGTATTGCAGGTATTGAAACCATTACCAAATATTTTAGCTAATTATTATACTTATTATTACTTTTATTAGTATCATTACGATACTACCATGTAAATACCACTTTCTGTTTATAATTCGTTTCTCTTTGAGAGCTGATTGATTAGTGCAGGTGTTTTTTTCAATTTTTGACAGTTCTGCTTTTTCCTGAAAATGAGAAATAATCATTGTCACAGCTGTTTGAACTGATTATCCTTTTAGTGATAATTATTATCACAACTAAGGATAATTGTTATCAACTGAATTCTATTAACTGTTGTTATGACCTATTAAGTCTAAGCTTAACTACACGACGGTTTGGGCCGAACTTTTTCAAAGGTCAATTACTCGGCCCTACATTAATGTTTTTNTTTTTCGTGAAAGTATGAAGCACAAGAATGAGCTTATCATTCGATGCAAGAAGTATCATTCATTCGGTTCACATAGAAAGTCTCATCTGTGGACTCTGAAAGTCGTGCAAAATTGGATATCATTTTTCGGTAGTTTTCTTTCATTGTTTGTTTCACATAGTTCGTATAACAAAATTGGCCACACACATTGTCTGCAAGAACCAGAAATGTGAAACTGAAAAGAAAATGTACTGCAAAAGTTTCAACGTACAAAGTATTATCTCGAAATATACGCGGAAATGTATTGATTAGTTCGTAGAAAGTGATGCTTCCGAATGATAACAAATCAGTATTTTCAGAGTGCGATAGAGGAAACGCTAAAGTATTATTGCATTCAACATTATTATACCTTCATTTATTCTAAATAGGCATCAACAGACTGGGGTTCCTTCTTGCCTGAAATTTTAAAAAGTGAACAAATTCAAGGATGAATGACAGCTCTAGATGCTGCAGTAGTCTAATTGTAAGCTATCAGAAGATTCATTGTAAGAATTAAATGCTAACAGAAAATGTTTGAATGATTTGATCAAACTGAATGGTTGATGTATTGAAAGGCCATTTGAATATGATCATTTGCGATAAGTATTGTTTTGTTCCACCTGAGATCGATTGGGTTTGGTTTTTTTATATGGGTTCAATCTGAGTTCGGTTTTGATTTGTTTAGAGTTTGATCTGGTATTATCATTCAGGAATTGATTCTCAAATGGTAGAGAATTGCGGTCATGCCAACGCGAGCTTTCTGGTCACCAGACAATGGTTTGGTGGCAATTTTATGTTGGAAGCAGTTGTCAGTTGTGTGATCGAGTTAGGCACTTACGAGAAATTACTAAGTAGTCCGGGAAGCGGCTTGAAGAGCGGGAGAATAATGGTACACGAAATGGTCAGAAGGAGGGCGATGCATAAGGTACAAGCAAACGTTTGTTAGGCTGAAGCTTAGCATTTCCGAATTTATAAGATTTATAAACAAGCGGTGGAATGTGATTATTGATGTGTTAAGACAATGAATAAGTCGGAAGGAATAAATAAATTGTGCATTATCTGAAGTGTTGTTGATTGGCCGAGTGGGGGTGGATTTTGCACATTGTGTGAATATTGTTGCAGCTGTGCATATTGTTCCGTTGTCAATAATCCATTGAGGAATAATGAGCAATATCATCATTGGAAATTGATGAATTGTGCACACAGATATAATAATAATAATAATAATAATAATAATAATAATAATAATAATAATAATAATAATAAT